ACACGCTTTTACTGTTAGTCCCACCTGTTCAATCGAAACACCGGGAAGAAGAAAAAAAAGATCAACGCAAGTTAACGCGCTAATGCAATCATTTCGTAATGTTCATTAAAAGGAAACCAAGCTAACAGCATCAGTATGGCTTTCACACAAGCGGAGCCGAAACAAGCATCCTTTCCCCAGCGTTTACAATTTTATCTGTTTTCAAATAACGCTCTTGCTGCGATTCCTTTCAATAACAATAGACGCCTATTTAGGACTAATAAAAACTGCAGTTCTAGCAATTAAAAAAAATAAAATAAAACAAGCAAAAGAAAAAGACTAGCAGCTGTGGATACACTATTGAGCGAAATCCTACAGGCAAGGCAGCAGGTCACACGTCTGAGAAAGTAGTAAAACTGAACTAAAAGAGATCATACTTTTACTTGCATGGAATGAGATAAAAAGTATATTTATACTCTTTACATTTTGTTGTAGCAATCGTTTTGTAATATTAACACATCACTTGTTGAATTTTAGTAGAATAGCAGACGATCACGACCAAATGCAAAAATGAATCAGGCATCGACAATCGCAAACCCTCTCTCCCATGCAAACACCTAAACTGACTATGGATCAAGAAATGTAATTAATTATAATTAATTCCATTTCTTGATCCAAAGTCATTTTAGGTGTTTGCATTAGAGAGAGGGTTTGCGATTGTCGATGCCTGATTCATTTTTGCATTTCGTCGTGATCGTCTGCTAGTCTAACTAAAATTCAACAAGTAATGTGTTAATATTACAAAACGATTGCCACAACAAAATGTAAAGAGTATAAATATACTTTTTGTCTCATTCCATGCAAGGAAAAGTATGATCTCTTTTAGTTCAGTTCTACTACTTTCTCAGACGTTTGACATGCTGCCGTGCCTGTAGGATTTCGCTCAATCAGTGTATCCACAGCTGCTAGTCTTTTTTTATTGCTTGTTTTATTTTATTTTTTTTTAATTGCTACAACTGCCGTTTTTATTAGTCCTAAATAGGCGTCTCTTGTGATTGAAAGGAATCGTAGCAAGAGCGTTATTTGAAAACAGATAAAATTGTAAACGCTGGGGAAAGGATGCTTGTTTCAGCTCCGCTTGTGTGAAAGCCATACTGATGCTGTTAGCTTGGTTTCTTTTTAATGAACATTACGAAATGATTGCATTAGCGCGTTAACTTGCGTTGATCTTTTTTTTCTTCTTCCCGGTGTTTCGATTGAACAGGTGGGACTAACAGTAAAAGCGTGTAAGGCGCAGTAGTGCAAGTGGATGATTTCCAAAAAAGGATCACAGTTCAAAAGTAAGACACGCGCAAAATACAAAAAAAAAAAAAGAAGTCCCTAGCGCGATTTGAACCCGGAACTTTCACGCCGCGACGACAAGTACCGGCGCTTTAACCTCTCGACCACAACAGAAATTTTTGTATAAATTACATGGAAAAGGGACAGTAAAAACAATCAAGACACATTCTAACAGAGCTATCCCTTACGTACTACATTCAAACTGACTGATAATGGTCACATAGAAATACGAAGAAAGAGGGCTATGGCAACATATTTCGAATGGGGTCCCATCTCTAAAAGTCGGGAAGATGAACACATTTGTCAAGAAGGGTATACCATTCTGGGCGTTCCTTGAGGTGGTCGTACACATTGCGTACATGTGACACAGTTTCTATGAAATTGGACTTTGTAGACCGTGGCGGGTCAGCATTTCTATCTATCATCCTTGTTTTCCAAAGGCTATGCAGACCCATCAATGTGAACAGGTCACAAGGAAAAATATCATTTTGGTTTAAAGGCAAAAAACGTATCGTATATGCACAGATATTCAGATCTTTCTTCAATGTCCTTTGTAAGACATCCCAAAACAAATAGGCGTCGGTGCAAAAAGTAAAGCAATGTTCTATTGTTTCAGGCTGGTTGCACAAACGGCAGTTCACTGACCAAGGAACAAATATACCTTTTTCGCGCAGCCAAGGCTTTACCGGCAACGTTGAAGTGTGGAGCTTATAAAAGAATAACTTCGCTGTCGGTGAGGCATGTAGCTTACACACACGTTTCAGGACGTCTTGTCCCGGGCCATTACTGAACATACTTCGGTACAGGGGTATCGAAAATAATGCATCGATGAGATCAACATATAAAGCTTTCCGCGACACTTTAAATAGGTATTCCAAGGAAAAACGTGCTTTAAGGAACTCTATTGAGCTCACAACCTCTCCGAGGTATCCCAATGGACGAGATGTGCTCGCAGGCACTGTTGTTACTACCAAATACGGCAACGCACTTGAAAGCGCTGCCTGCATGTAGGTTCGAAGGAAGTCGTGAGACACAGTTCTGAAGAACAAGAAGCGTGATATAATTTGTTTTAAAAAGACGTGTAAAAGCCCGAGACCGCCTTGCTCAACGGAACGAAACAGGTTATCTCGTCTCATGGGTTCCCAAGTGGAACCCCATACAAAAGTTGCAAACACTCTGTGAAACTTCTGAATGTGGCCTCTAGTACAGCAAATCACCTGAAGTGCGTACCAAAGTTTTGCTGCTAAGAAGATATTACAGGCTTTCGCCCGTCCAAAAATAGACCACTGATTTACTTTCATTATTGCCGCTTGAGTTTTCATCTTTTCAACCTTTTCTGTCCAATAATGTCCGTTGTTCCTAACGCAATTAAGGGGAGCTCCTAAGTACTGAGGGGCAATGCAGCTCCATGAAATGCCAACGTACTTTGAAGGTGTTGTGGCCCATTGCCCGCACCAGAAGCCAGTACACTTTGCCTTGTTGATGAGCGCCCCAGTCGTGGAACAGAAGTTTTGAGCTAAAGTGAACACATTGTCTACGCTTCGTTTGTCCTTACAGAAGAACGCAATGTCATCCGCATAGGCCAACACTTTTACCTCTGTGGAGTAGAAACGGTATCCTTCTACAGTCGGGCTATTTAGTACGCTTAGACATAGGGGCTCTAAGTATAGTGCAAACAAAAGGGGGGACAAGGGGCATCCCTGTTTAACAGATGACTCTAGACGAATTGGACCTGACAAAGAGCCATTAACTCTAAGCCTAGTGGTGCAATTGCGGTAGCATATCTTTATTCCTTTAAAAAGTGTTGGTCCTAAGTTTACGTGGCGGAGTATGCCGAATAGAAAAATATGGGAGACGCGATCAGAAGCTTTTGCTAAGTCCACTTGAACCATAGCCACTTGTCTGCATGAGCACAACAGCTCTCTATTATTGCACGAGCTACGTGTATGTTTGTCTGTATCGTTCTGCCCTTAATTCCACAAGTCTGGTGATTGCCAACAACGCTGGATGTGATGTATTGAAGTCGTTTTGTCAGAATTTTCGCAAAGATTTTGTAGTCCACATTGCAGAGTGTAATAGGGCGGTACCCTTCAACATTTAGGAGTCTATCTGCCTCTTTACTTTTTGGGATTAAAACTGTATGGCTCTTATAAAAAGAAGGTGGGAGTGTTTCCTGCTCATACGCTTCCAGAAATACTTTAAGTAAAAACGGGCTTAGGAGGTCCTTGTATTCTTTATAAAACTCTGCTGGGAGTCCATCGGGCCCTGGTGTTTTTGAATTTGGTAATTCATCTATCGCGCATTGTACTTCTTCCAATGTGATTGGTCTAGCAAGGAGATCGCGCTTAAGCTGGCTAACCTGGGGCATCAAAGAGACTAGATATTTAGCTTTTTTCTCTATTTACCGATTGCGTTTGCCCGAAGAGCCTCTGGTAGTGTGTTTCAAAAGCATTCATGATGTCAAGTTCGTCAGATGATAATGCCCCGTTACAATTCAGAAGTTGTATTCTTTTTGACTGTCTATTTGAGTTTCATCGTCAAGTGCTCGTCGAGTGGGTGTCTCGGAGGATAGAAATCGTCTACAACGAGACCGTACTAGTGCTCCATGGAACCGTTTTTGTTCGTGACTTTGTATCTGACACTTCACACGTAGTATTTCTTCATAAAACAGACCAGGCGTCTCACACTCTAGCTCGTGGAGGGTCTGTAGGTTGCGTAAAAGAAGATTTTTGTCTTTCTTTGCATGGAAGGATGTTATGCACGAGCATTCAATTGCTTCATTCTTAATTTCAATTGTTTAAACGAGTCCCATTGGGCAAAAATGCCGAATAGGTGGTTCGTAGTCGCCTTATTAAAATTTTCTCGAACTCGCTTGCTAAACTCTTTGTCTTCTAATAGTCACGTATTAAATTTCCATAAAGCCCAATTTGGTGGTGATTTACGTTGTACGTCTCTACCGATGCACGCCCTTACAAGGCAATGATCCGAAAAGGAAACTGGCTTTACGTCGTAGGCACTCACTTGCGCAAAAAGGGGACTTGATACATAAATGCGATCCAATCTCGCATTGCATGTTGCATGGAGATGGGTAAATCGATTAGAAACGTTTTGCGAAGCCCCAACGTCAAAAAGATAGTAACCAGACGTGAGACTGTTCAAAATTTCGGCACTGCTATCACGCCTTGTAGAAGGAACTGATCTGTCGCTAACGTTACACACACAGTTAAAGTCTCCGAACAAAACAATCTGCTTGTCTGTATCAAGAAATGGGGCAAGATTTTCAAAGAAAAAACGTCTCTCTCGCTCGCCGTTATAAGCGTAAATACACAGTAAGCGAAAAAAAAATGCCGCGTAACAGAAAATCACAGCATATAAACCTTCCTTTGTCGCCAACGACATGTGACAGTGAAGAACAACCCAGGCTTTTTTTCAAAAACAAAAAGCACCCTCCCGACAAGCCATCAGCATGACTGACAGATGCCTCGTATGTCAAGAGGAAAGGGTCCAGTGCTCGAGGAGTGTCCTCATCAGACGATATCTTTGTTTCCTGAATGGCGACAAAGTCTATCTGTTCTTTTAAGAGGAGCCTATATACTTGGGACTGTCGCGCACGTGAACACGGTTCTCTGACGTTGAGGGTAGCGAAGCTGAGTGGAGGGTGTGCCATGGGCTACTAGTTGTTATGTAGGTAAAACATCATTGTCTTTCATCTCGTTGTCCGGCTGTGGAGCCAGGCTGTAAGGGTCTTCTCGGAGCGCTGCTGGCTTGCGCTTTGCCTCTCCTCCCTCGTCATTCTTGCTCTCCTTCTTGGCACCCATTCCAGAGGGCTGGGACGACTCAGCCTTAGGAGCGGGTCTCTTGACGGATGCTCCATTGGATGTGGCGGAACGCTTCCGGCGAGGCAGTGGCTGTTGGCTGCAGGACGGCTCCTCTGTTACTTCCAAGAGGGGGTACTCGTCTTCCGACCAGTTTCGCATGGTTGCTGTAGTTGTTATCGTAGAGTCTTCTTTGATTGGCTCAGATGAGACATCATGCGAGACGGGATTGGTCATTTGTGCTTCTTGGGAAGCAGTTTCCCGTTCTGTCCTTGGTGCTATGGAATCAGTGACTTCTCCTGTAGCGTCAACCATCTCACTGATGTCCATTAGGTGATCTTGAACAACGTCATCAAGAAGGGTTCTCACCTGTCGGAGCTTGTCGGCGTATGTTGACACACATTCGTCTGTAGAGTGTCCATAGCGGCGGCATTCGCCGCACAGAGGAGTTCTGCACTCTCGACGTATGTGCCCGATTCGGTTGCATCGGAGGCACAGCGGAGGGCGGCCAGGAACGATCACGAGGCTTCGGCAGCCGAAAACCGTGAGTTGGTGCGGGATTTGGGTGCTGTTCATCCCTTCACGGAGTATTAACGTTACCTCCTTGTTTAAAGTCTCCATTTGCTCCATCCCTGGGCAACTCCACTTCTCGCGAACGATTGAACGAACCGTACCGTAGGGCGCTAGCGCCTCTTCGATTCGCTTGTTCTCCATGTGGACCGGCAGCCACAACAACTTGAGTTTAACGCCTCTGGTGTCTGGGTCGATGACTATGCATCTGCGTCCCTTCACACAGAGCTCGGCCTTGTTGACGAGCTTGGCTTTCGCCAAAGCGTTAGTACAAGTTACCATCCATACGTGGCTCATTTGGAATTGGCCGATTCCGATGATATCTTGAGCCTCAACCACTTCTCGTAAGGCATCACGGAAGTCAGGTGCGCGGTAGGGTCTCGCGGCAAGATCTCCATGCAGGAAAACAGAGTTTAGGCTCAAATTACCTGTGGGTAGACGAGGTAAGACGGTCCGGTATTCAGTTGTCATGGTTTCCGAAGAACTGGCCGAAGCCTCGGCATTTCCCCGGCCAGTGGCCGGTGTATTTTCATTGGAGAACATAAAGCGCGTCCGTTCGGAACGGCGTCTTCTTCTTTCTCCCCGACCACAACAGAAGGCGCGAGGCGCGGCGCCGGCGGAGGTATATAAAAATACTGCTACCGCTTTTATCTCGTGTGGTTTTTTCTTTATTTTGGCTCCCCTTTGCCCTCCCTGGCCGTAACTTTACCTGCCGCTCCTACAGTATAAAGGGGCGGTCAATTAGATTCCAGTTGAAAGTCCCTCCAATCAGTTTCTGCGAGCGAAATTAGGCTTTTGTGCTTGAAGCGATGCGGATCTCTCCGCCATTAGGCAGGGACGCTAGGTACTTCCTTGTCCCCATGGAGCTGGTCACGTGACGTAAAAATCCCTCCTGGCCGCGGCCGCGTCCGCAGCCGCAAGATGAGCAAACCGGCATGGGGTTTTTAACGTGCACCACGCAGTAGTGATACACGACCGCACGCCGGTGCGATGCTCATTAAAGGGGCACTAAGTGGTTTTTGAGTTCTTGTTTTGATGATGACAGCTGAATTTAGACGCCCTAAGTGTCCCTAAAAACCAAAAAGTATAGTCATACGGTGATTATTTCTTTAATAAAAATGTAATGGAAGGCCGCCAAACCTCGGATCCATCCGAAAACGAAACCACTCTCATTGGTCCTCGCACGCTTATCAAAAGGATCTCGGGCCAATGGCGTTGGACGACGTTCCGTCGCGCAGTGATCCCGAGGTAGCCGCATCGGCCGAACCTTTTTGTCATTCGAGCTTCGATCATGGCGGAGTTCTCTACGCTCGAGGACCTGACGCCGTTAGAGGTTGAAATTCTTCGGCGGACAGCCGACCTGGGGATGATTTCCTATGACGCCACTCCGACGGGCGATCTGGACGATAGCAGCGCTTCGTAGTCCTGTTCGGGTTCCGAGGGTGACGAAACGCAGACCTTTTCGGGCGTACTCCGATTTGCGGTTGGGGCAAGTCGTAACCAAACCAACGTTCGACATCGCAGCGTTATCTCTGGTACGTGATGTCAAACGATGTCGCCACGTTGACTTTCGCCTCGGGAGGACGGGGGGAAGGCTGGTTAAGAGCAGACATGTGCAACGAGCGCGTACCTACGACTGCGTCCGTTGCAACCGGAGCGACCGGAACGACCGCTCTGCGCCGCGCGTACACACACCTGCAACCACACTGTTAGCAAGTCCCGTGTATTTGGCGAATATTTGGGGTGAAAAACACGCTATTTACGCAAATTACCATAAATTTACACGATTAGTAACGGATAATTCGTTCAGAAATCATGCGAGGTTGTAAAAAACGTGTTTTGGTTCGGTCATACACGCATAACCGTGTAGCCGACCTCGATAACACGCATCGCCCCCGGCGACGACCACGGCATTGCCGGCTATCGAAGCACCGGAATGCTTGGGGACACACTTAGAAAGGACCGTCGAGACAAATGCCGCGGAAAGAAACATCTCTCGGAGACAGATATGCACCAAAAGCAATTGCGCCATTTCGCAGGACATTGGCGAAACCGGCGCTTACCGGGCTCGCCGCCATCTTCTGGTCGATGGCAATGCGGCTTCCCTCATGTCGCCCATGTTTGTATTTAGTTTAGGTGTCCTGATAACAGTTTCTTAGACACCACAAATAAAGTTATGGGTCTAATTATCCGTTGCAAACAGTTAAAATGGATATAAAAAGCGTGTCCTCGATGTGAACACGTGACATTGCAGTTGGTTTCGTTTTTGCTTCAACCTTCAACTGCAAGCGATCTGGCCACGGCGCAAGCGCAACGCCGATGTACGCTGGAAGCCTCCTTGGCTGGAAGCAAGCGCCGGTTGGCTTTCGTTGTTTTGGGGTTTTTGTTTGACCGGAGAAAATCTGGCAAGTACGCATGGCGCCGCTACTGTTTTGGTTTGACGGGACGCGAGAAGCTTCGCATAGATCTTCGGAGTTTGCGAGCACATAGTGAAGACGTGACCGGAGAAGTGCCCCTGTGATGTTCCTGGAAGACGGAAAGTAGCATTCGTGATCGTCGTGTGTGCTTTGAAAGCGAAGGAGTCACAGGGTCCACGAGTTCGCAACCACAAGCCAAGGTTCACGACAGCGCGGCGTTGACTTCGGCGATCTCGTTCTGTTTGGTGCAACCCGGCGATGCGAAAAAGAGCTGAAGCATTCGTCGTGTGTGGTGCGGTGCTTTGTATTCCGGGTCTGTTTGAACCACGCTTTTAACACGGAGCGCAAATTGTTTGTTGCGTGGTGGAGGTTCAACGGGTACAGTCCCGTCGTCGTCAGCTGATCCGGTCCAGCTGGTCCGGGAGGACGCAGCGAGCGTTTTTAAAAGTAAATCTTCCTTCGTTCCATTTCAAACTGTGGAAGTATCCCGACACATACCGTGAGTAAGAAGCAGCGGGCGTTTTCAACAAAATTATGTTGTTTTAATTGAATAATGGACTCCGGATTGTTGTCTTAAATCTGCCGTTTTTTATGCTTCGTGTTGGACTGCGTTTGCATAGCGACGCACACCGCTCTAGTAGATGATTTGGTCCTGCAACGAGTTTGTTGCGCCAATCATGCGGCGTGAATAAATTAGGGCAAGGTTTGCTACCTGCCCACAGATGCATGTACTGAGACCATTTTTTATGTTGTGAACGTAGTGCTCTTTCTTTATTTTGGAAGACGCGTTGGTGCATTTAATATGGTACAATCACTTTAAAGTTGAGAAATTTGAGAGCGAGCAAGCTTTCTCAACTTTGTCTCTTTCTCTCTGGCACTGCCCTGTTTCAGTTTCAGTAGGCATATCGCAGGTACAAACTGCTCTAAAGCAGGTAAAAAACGGGAAGCTTAGGACGGTGCGAACTCCGTGTTTCGCGCTTTTCGCAAGGTGACAGGGTAAATGCTTTTGTGAGATATGCGGAATATGCAAGCGATTTCGTTATGCCCGTCGTTTGCATCTCTCCAGCAAAACGAATAAGATAATCTACTACAAAGGCGCAATCATAAGCCAAGATATAAGATAGCAGTCGTTTGCTTCGGTGATCCGTGTAGCTGTATTTTACCCTGCTCTCTGCAACACCGTGTCATGACGAAGAGCTGGAATGGTCGCGGTTTGTGCTGGCCTCCCGGTTGACAGAAACCCGCGTCGCCCGCATCGGCACCGAGTGCGCTTGGGCTGTTGATGCTCCAGCTTTTCATCCGCGGCTTGTCGCCAGCTCATCCTGCTGCTCAACGGTGAGGAAGCGGCGAGAGTAACCTCGGAAGTGAATGTAAATCCTCGTTCATTCAGTTATCCGGTGTCAAAGTGTGGAAGATGTCCAACGTATACTAAGGGCGGGAACTACGAGCGTTTTGCCTTGGTTTTATAACCGAAACCAGACCAACGAGATAACTGCCTTGAGTACTCTAAAATGACGGAAGCAATAAGTTTCAACAGGTCGAGTACGTCACCGGGGATGTAGGCGAGACGGTGCACACTGTTTAAACGCTTTCAGTATCCACGAGTGGTACCAGGAAAGCGACGTCAAGAAAGAAGGAGCTCGCGATTCAGCATAATAAACTGCTACGGGCCCGTGTATCTTCAAAGTTCGGGGTGGTGGCAGTATAAAAAAAAGACGCATCAGCGCCCCACACCAGTGTTCACGAATAACACCGGTCACAAACTCCCATGCCCCACCGCTCTTCTCGACACCGACACGACATACGACAACAAACTGCATCAAAACGCCCCAAAAGTGAGGGCGTCTGCTCCCGTACTGCAACTGCTGCAACTAGCGGAAGTGAAGTGTTGGGCGGATGTCCGGATGTCCTTCACAAAAATATATAAAAAATGATTTGCGCAAGGATCATTTTCATTTATTATTCTATACGTAATGACAAAATCCCAATAATTTGTTTTCCTATCTGATTCAAGCTAGTCAGACTGCTCGTAACACTGGTCAAGCAAGAAAATAACAAAAATTTGAACTTTTTCATGACCGGTTTAAGATTTATTGTTAACATATCGTTATTTATTGTAACGGACTAACATTATAGATTTTGCCTCCATACTTTTTAAATGCAAACAGTTCTAACACACGGCTGTTCATTGCGTCGTGTTTTGTGTGTTCTTCTATAAATCTGTAATGGTCAGCGACCAAAGAGCTCACCCGCACATGTCAAGCTTATATGCGCCGCGGGAAGAAATGGATATCGAGTAGGAAGTGTCGGGCGTAGTGTCGGTTGTTGTGTTTGTGTACATGTCGGTGCTGTGTAGCTGTGTGCTCTGTCGCCTGCGTTGTATGTAGGGTTGCTGTGTAGTCGTGGTCGTTCGCAGTGTTAACTGGCTCGTCCTTTTTTTAAAAACAGGCAGCTAGAAATCTCGATAGGTGGCGCAAGTTACCGTCCAATTCTAAACAGTTTGCTCAAGTTATTTATCCATGTAAGTTCGGCACTCGTTTTTTTTTTTTTTTTTTTTTTTGTCTAGCGGCTCGTTGAAGCTACCGACGCCGCCGACCGCCGACAACGCACGTACGTACCTTTGCAGGTAGCTACGTCCGCCGCTTGGAGACTTTACTGTATATAACAGACATCGAACGAGAACTAACGCGCCCTGTGTGCTTTCAATTCGGCTGAAAGGCGCGCGGCTCGCTGGGCTCGTCTCTCGCCTGTTCTCGGCCGCTGGCCGCCAGGTTTCATAAGGAACACGCTCGAAACGGTTTTGCGGAAGGCAGACACGGTGTAGCGTGTTAAGTTTACACAGCACCTCATGTGTAGACGAAAAACACAGATGGCCTCGTGTAAAACGAACACGTCTCGACGTGTCCGCTATGGGACAACGGTTTACACGTCTGGGCGTGTTATTTTTGCTAACAGTACACTACAACAAGCGCAGCGAGTCGTCAGCACGGCGACCGCTTCTATACGCCGCCGTCAGCTGTTTCAGCGGCCCCTCTA